GGTTTTTCTTGTTGGAACATGGGAAATTTTCCAACACATAGGCATTCCCTTTACCAAAATTATTCTGTATAAACCTTTCTATGACATGCGGCGCGACAAGTCGTGGTCTGTTGATAGAGCACGACATAACCAGGAAGCTAGAATTGTAGGAAATGAGGCCGTTTTCATAAAGATGCTTAGTGCTCATTTTTCCGTGACTTGAGCTATTATCAAAAAATTTTTTAGTTATTTCCTATCGCGGGTTAGAGTAGTTCAGTCGGTTCTCCTCGGTTCAGGAATTCGCACAGTATCATATCTTTCTCAGAGCGTTTGTGTGAAAATGGACCATCGCATCAGTGATCCTTTTGTGACGCATTTGAAAACTTGAGGGATCCGGTCGGGAACGACTCTCGTCCATCATTTCTCGTACGCATTACGTGTACAGCACACCTTATCTTTAGTAACCAGGCGTGTAGTACAACATCACTGATTTTTGACCACTGACGTATGTCAAAAGTCTGGATCGCTCCTCTCCGTTGCGAAATGCGTGATATTCCTAGCATCAACCGTTTGACTGGGCGTTCACGAGTTCAATAACACCAGATGATCATTCATTCATCGTTCTATGTAGCGATCAGGTTTCTGATTGATATGTTAAGGCTAAAATGACTGTTGAATTGGAAAGACGGGCACGAAGTTGAGCATTCTTTGTTCCGTTCAATATATCCTCGATGATTCAAAATGCCTCCTAAGCTCTTCGCTTACTTTTGCTTAACTCTGGAGCTTCTCTGTTCATCGTGTTGAGTTCTTGACCTAGATAGATGTAAGTGTGACATTTGGAGATGTTCAATCCGTTGAGCATGGATTGGGCACGAAAATTATCCTATTCCTCGTGAACATCGTTTTCATGAAATTTAGCCTGGAAACAGCTCCTCAAAGGTGTTTCCAAAATCGGTCAAGTCCACATATTTGTCGCTTCAATGGTACTTAGTGTTACAACGATGTCAGCAGCAGAACGAAAATGATGCAAATTTTGACCGTCATTTTCACTTCCATATCGCCCTATCCTGATGTTTTCATGACTTTTTTGAGAATGGCTATGAATGGTTTTGGCGGGATCGCATACTATTGCCGAACTACTCCTTTTACGTCGATAGCAGTGTTGTTATTTTATAGTAATTTTCACTGTCAGGTTAGTGGTATTGCGGATTGTCGATCTTCCTATGGTTATTTTGAACGCAATGACCAGTTACTTGCGTCGTATACTTGTACATGTGCATAGTATAAAGCGTTACAATAGGCGAGGTTGTTAATCAAATCAATTCAGATTCAAGAAATTCCGTAAAAGAAGCCTTACCATGTTATAGTTTCATCTTGGTTGGTGGCGTAGCTAGGTGGCTAGTTGTTGGGAGTTTATCACTGGCACAGCTTCCTAAGCTGAAAAAGCAAAAGAGATTTGCGATCTAGTTAGAAACAGATTTCCAGTACAGATGGTAATTTCATTACTGAGAAGTGCTTGCTGGATGAAGAAACTTAGTACGGCTTTCAGAATTCGCAGTGAAACGGAAATTATTTGGACGCATTGCATATTAATCGCATGTAATGGGGGCACATTACGCAAAATTGTAGGCACTCATTTTTAGATTCGAAATGTAAACGAGTAGACTTATTCGTGAATTCAGTTCACTCCTTACTCTTTTACACGACAGCGAAAGATGTAGCTGTTGAATGAACTTATCAAAAGATGAGGAAAAACTTCTCCTCGAAGCGTGATCTTTTGATGAAATATACAGGTAAACACAGATGTGATAATCGTGTCGATATTACACCACTAGAGTATCATTTTATGGTTGCTGGGTGTCGGTTTGCGGTGAGTGAGCACATGTCTCAATGAAATAAAGTTTCAGTGGTGCTGTTCGTGCTCTTACTACTACTGATGACCATTGGAAGCACTTCAGCTTTGCGGTGTTATGTGGGAAGAAATGGCAGTATAGGTGTGAAGGTAAGAAAATTCTCATTCAGTGTTGATTAAGTCGAGAATGGAGATCATTTGGAGCCTGTACTAGCAGTAAGCGCAGGTTATCTGTGTTATAGTCAAGTAAGAACGTCTCGTATGTGAAAATATTATTGACAAAAGAAACCTTAGTTCAGTCTATAACTGTTTTTTAGCTGTGGAATTTGATACTTGATACTTGATACTTGAACGGTCCGTCTTCTCTAATTGTGCGGACCCCAACACATATGCCATTCGTCTCCCTGCCGCTCGACACTCGTCCATGGCGGTGGTCTAATTTGAGCATGGCGGATGCTGCGAGTGTCATACCGTTATCTAAAAAATTGGGAGCTGCTAGCATACCTCCTTAATTCTTTTGACGAACACGTCCGCTCAACGTGTAAGTGGTCGTCCTCGAGGGCGCGTACATTGTCGTGAAATCCATAGTCGTTCACGCAGAATTTGTAAAGGAGCAAGGAACTAAGAAAAAGTACTTAGACGTTTGTTACAACGAGCACACTTCTTAAAAATTGATAAAAATTCAGTAGTGTATTATATCGATGTCCTTCCGTTACTTGATGTTTCTACACATTGTCTTCCTTGATATTTTGAAAATGTTTTTGTGTTTGATAATACCTTCATACTCTAATGTTTTTTTGAACCACACCTACAATATAATTTAATAGCATATTTTAAGTTTTTCATGAGGTCTCTTATGGCAATTGTAGAATGCTAGACACGTGTTTTGGCCTTCCAGTTTCGTCACTAGCACGGCGTCTTTGTTCTGAGCCAATCGCTTGAAAGAGTATATACCCTCTACACAAGCAATGTAACATCTCTGTCGCCTATTCCTACATATGTAGACAGATTATATTGCTTTAAGCAAGGTGTTGAAAGAAAACAGTGGAATATTGAGGTATAATCAGATATATCAGCTATAAGCCATCGACTGTGAGGTACTACAATGTTATCTGGCATTTGTTACAATGTGATTCATTATGTTTGTCAAGCGTAATGATATTTCCACCTTGTGCGCGCAGTGTAACATCTTCGTCGCCAATTCTTTTATGTGTAGGGGTATATCCCCTTACAAAGCATTGGCTTAGGGAAAGGCAACGTGCCGCTGATGGTTTTGAAGGCCGAAATATGTGTACAGCGTTCCAGAAGTGCCAGAACAGAACTCATAAAAGGGGTAAAGTATATTATCACATTATATTGCTTTCATTGTGTATGTGCGACATCTTACACATTACATTTTATGCCAAGTCTGGTGCTGCGTTTAACATGCAAATTTTAAAGGATTTTATTACAAGGCCTATTCCTTAGGCAGTCACATCTCTCGCCATCTTAGAATCATTGAGCTCCTCACCTGGTGAAAAATGTCATAAGCAAGAAGCAAATTTATTTTACTTGATGTCAAAATTCAAAAAATGAATGGCACTAATGTTTGAATTCAGGATGGGCAAGTATTCTGTGGATTCAAGGCGTATTACGCTGACGATAATTGCAAGAATAACGCTGCTATCGAACTTTACAGTGTAGGACACAACGAAGACACTAGGTCAGGCCGTGTAGTACTAAAAAAGGTGACTTGATTGAACATATTTCCTGCAAACAAGTAGTTTATTTTCAACGGAAAAAATTTTGCCCTTATCATTATGTCATTTTATCTGCTTCTTATTAGACTTATACTCTATCTATTATGAGCGCTTGCGGCGCCACGACTGAAAGTACTCAGTGTCGCGCACGTGATCAGTGGTTCAACCCCTCATATGGCTCACCAAGCCTTACATCCCTGCGGTGCCAGTAAATTGGTGAGGATGAAATTGAGACAATTGCACGGCGTATCCCTCTGAGGTTTGATCGACACCAAGAGCTTTAACCTTTTTACTCTACTCATTATTATATCCTGCATGAGATAGAATGTAATTTTCTCAATAAGATATCAGAGCGGCACCTCACAGTGGGATTTCTAAGAAAGGATAAAAAAAAACTGCAGAATCATCAGTATCCTTTAGTGGGTGTTCAATGAGGATGCTCGCCTGAAATTAGTAGTTTTGTATAATAGAAAGTGTCCTTTATTATGAAGTTTCCTCGCATCTATTTTTATTTGTATTTGAATGATTCAGCTCCAAACGCTCTATGGTTCCAGGTTTCTTTCACTCAATTTACTGATTCGAACACATCATTAACGAGGGTCATCGAATATGCTTGTGGATTTCGCTAAAATTTGAAGAATTTTCCTAATACGCGATCGTTAGGAAATTGATTTTCTTTGAACATTGGAATGGCTCCACTTCGGCGGATCTCAAGCTCTCACCATAATCAGCCACCGATTCTTAGGGAGAGGAGAGAGCAACTTCCTGAAAAGTGTGAAGCCTGATCGGAGAGATGGTGATATGGGAGGCGTGATAGGGTCGCGGCGTAATGGAGCTTCCAATTACGCTTTCACTTCTGCGTACTAAAACCACGAAGTTTCTCGCATTCTTCTTCTGATTTAGTGAGAAGAATGTCGTCAAAGTTGTCTGTATGTTAATATTATAAGCAATCAAATAAACACAGCGAAATGTCCCTAGTCCAAAGGATCACAGCCTGTGCAATTACCAAACTATACTTTTTATCAAATATAAGATGATATTCATCCACGCATCGCCGCTAACAACACCAATGCTATATTTATCATATGCATTGATGTAGAGTAATGTGCCAAACTTTTGCGTCAACTGGGACTCCAACCCACAATTCACCCTATCCGGGGGGAGCGTATTCTATCCCTTGCACTACCGAAGCCTGTTTTGACACCACTTTCTCTACGACACAACGCATCTACATCAGTGGTTATATTTGTAGCATCTTACCACCGCTAGAAGCGATTAGATAAGAAAGAATTATGTTTGATCATTCAATACTCAATATCTCTCAGCCTGATTGGGATCAATGGCGATAACGACCACTCGTGCCATACTATTGACTGTTGATTGCTGAGAGTTAGATGCGCTGTAGCATAGAAGAAGTGGTGTCAAAACAGGCGTCGGTAGTGCAATGGTTCGAGCATGTGTCCCCGAATAGGGTGGAATGTGGGTTCGAGTCCCATCTGACGTAAAAGTTTTGCACATCACTCTACATCGTGGGTATATTCATATCATATCGCTGCTAAAAGAGCTAAATGAAAAAAAAATTCTGCTTGATCATATAAATACCATACCAATAGTAAAAACGACTCCGCTTCCCTACTAATCAAACGCATTCAATAGGGAGATTTCAGAGCGCGATTGAAATCAAACAAATGAGTTTCAACCTTTACCTTCCACGGTCGATCTAAGCAAGAGCAAGAGATAGCCTAGTGGCTGATGAGGGTCCAATGAGAGCCAATGCAAGGTTCCTAATGGATAAAATTTTTAGAAAACAGCGCTACTGTAGAAATACTCATGTCGTCTTGAACACTAATGACAGTATGCCGACAACGGACCGCCACGTGAACAAGCAAGATTATGAAAAGGAATCAGCACCATCATACGATAGATCACATGCAATCTACGGGCTACAAGACTTTTCGGAACTCTATTAGAGTGCAGTAGATATCTTTGCTTCACTTCGATTTACTTAAGAAAACATTCAACTTATTCGAGCATAGTTGTCATAAAAACTCCGATTGACTGCACGTCGAATAGCCAATATGTGGAGATGATTTGAGAGCTATAAGAAAATTTCACTGCCAAACATCACCAATCTATAGCAATATCAGGTTGGCGCAAAAGCATTTACGATTTTAGAGTGGTCTGAGAGCGCAATTACTTTCGCGCTAACCTAACATGGCTTTTGACTGACGTGTGTGATGCAGTGATTAGAATTGCTTTGCGACACGCAAGTGGTCGATCAATCAATGCTTGGTGGTTCGATCCCGCTCTCGAAGCTTACCATGCTTTCCGTGTCGGTAAATTGGTACAAGACCTGGAAGGAAGCAGCACTGACTTGATACATCAATAGGCCACCGCGAGTCATTGTAAGGGTCGGATATATATTGTCTTTGCAAAGGCCAGATATACGTTCATTTACTTCGAGAGGAACTAAATGAAGACGAACACATGGCGCATCTCTCAAGACCTGACCAATGCCGAGAGCTCAAAGCTTTTTTGTTATTATTGGCGTAAGGAGAGGGGTTCGACAAGGCTATGCGATCTTATTGACACTATTAACTGCAGTTCTCGAGAATGCGTCTTGCGAAAATAGGACTGGAACAGTGTGGAAGTAAAAATCGTGTTCTACGAATACACTATTTTACCATGCTGACTTTATAATTTCACAGCATCAAGTATCATACAGGTTGAAGGAATGCTAACCGAGTTTGCCAAAGCTTGATAAAAGTTTAGCCATACTCCCTACGTTCATTTCTGCTAGGAAACGAACATGATTAACGACTCAGCCCCTCAAGTGAGCGAAAAAAAAGCAAGCGGTTAGGGAAAAGAAGATTAAAAATTACGTGCTCGTTCATACTGATTCAACAACTAGGGTGTGGTGTCTACCTATGCCTAAGACCCTTTTTCTTTTCGTGAAAGGTGAAAATTATGATATTCAGTCATATCAAGATCTGAATCAAAGCAAAAGGTGTTCTGAAAAGGAGAATGAACATACCTTATCTTTCATTGTTGGATGTTCATTTTAGATGGACGGAATGTGTTACTATGACGGCACTTCTAGAATACTAAGCTGCTTTTTTTCTCGTGATCTTTGCAATAACAGAACTCGTATGAAGGTTCGTCAACTCTAATCAAGAAAATTAATCCAATTTGTGACTGAAATTAAGGTTTTTCCAGGAAATTCTAGCATTACGCCTTGCTAGAGGAATGCCTAAACCAGCTAAGAAGTTCCTCATTTGCTTCCTTGCAAGAGACGAACTCACAAAGCTTCCTGGTAAAAACTTTCCGGATGCTTGGATTGGCTATGAAATGTAATTACGAAACTGCTTAATCTAATGAACACCCAGATGCAAACGTGCTGCAGATTGGTGACATCCCATGAACGTAAAAAAGCTCTAGGAGCAATTAAGACCTATCGAAATGTAGAAAATAACGATTGTATAGAATTCTACAGTGAGCGATGGCGCGGTAACAGTGTTGCCGATCATCATGAAATAAGGTGTCGGTTTTCGAGATTAGCAGGTCCTTCATCTCTTCGAGATAGATGTCAAGGAAAAGTCCACCATCTGCAACGAAGACGCTCTAGTCCACTCACTTCACTCGACCAGTATTCAATAACTTTCATAACAAAAGGAAAATTCAAAAACAGCACCAGAGTTTACATGCATAAGTTGAAAGAACTCCGTGGGTGATGATTGTGAGGACACAAATAGATTGGGAAAATTGCTTGAATCCACACATTAGATGCGCAAGGCGGAAAGCGCAAAGTAGAGTTAACAAAATAAATTTCTGCTGCAACTTTTCGCGTGATTAGGCTGCTAGAAATAGACTTTTTTTCTCTAAGCTTTGTAGAAACTATCTGAATATGATGCGCTATAAAGAAAGAAAAATATATAGTCATTACCTAAAGAAATCGTGGTGATCTAACAGAGCGCAGCGGCCACGAAAATACCATCTATGGTTGGATTATTTTACTGGTCTTTATTTAGCGTCGAATTGACTACAAGGTTGTGTGATTGAGGACAGCAGAAAAATAACTCCTCCCTTACTCGTTTTTCTACAGGAATTTAAAAATTAAAATCTCATCAGAAGTGATCGTTGAAACAACAGTTTGTTTAAAACCTCATGATATTGTATTTTCTTCGTTTTTGATGCAGTCATTCAATAAATGTATAAGAACACCTTCAAAGTTTTGACACCATCATGATATCAACACAATAAAGAATAAATAGAAAGACACATTTGAAGCCTTTGCGATCATTCCAGCGGCAAATTTTATCAAAAATTGAGCTGAATTGGAGAAATTGATTTCTTTGCAAAAGAGCCTCAAGTGAGTTATCAAGTGTACAGTCACCCATTGCAGAGATTAAACTATTATGATTTGGTAATGCTTTGTGCCGTTAATAGGCGAATAACTTGAGCGGGTACCAGTGAAACTTCTGTCTTCATTTATTGCGTGCAGGAGTACGTAAAATAACTACGCTGTAGAGCTTCACTGAGCATCATATCCTTCTTCTAAGACTTTTGTGAAGAAATTAGACCAACGGGTCGGCGATCCTTCCGTGACGCGTTTGACATCCTAAGGAGCCCAGTCGGTAACTCTCGTTCATCGGTTGCCCTTATAGCGCATAATATGATCGGACCACATTGACTTTGACAACGTGGCTTGTAAACGGCATCTTTGATTTTTGATCCTTGACACAGGCAAAATGTCGGTCGCTTTCTCTCATTTGTGAGATACGAGACACTTCTAACAGCAACCTCTCGACTGTACGCTCAATAGCGTCAAGTGATCTTTCATTCAGCTTATGCATCTACCAAGTATCTGATGCTTACGTTAAAACAGGTTAACCATTGAGTTGAAAAGCTAGGCACAGAGATGAGTGCTCTTCGTTCTCTTCACTGTATCTTTAATGATCTTTAATTCTCCCCAAGTCACTCGCTTTCTCCCTCCTGCTCAACTCTGGAACTAGTTGTTCATCACATCGCCTTCCTGACCCTAATAGAAAAAACCAAAGCCTTTTTGTTTCGAGTGTTTACTTAAGCCACGCTCAAATTTCAATATTCATTTGATGGGCTGTGTAAAATGTTCGTCGTCGCCTACTCCTCGTATGGGGGACTGGATCACCCTAAGAGGACTGGCAAATGACGGAGGGTACCGTCCGACTAATGAGACTGTCAAGGTCGAGCACGTGTATCGGCTCTATCAATTGCCGCATGACAGACCACATGCGTGGTTCAAGAGATAATTATCGAAATATCGAAGCCCTCGGAGATATTCATTCCGTTGGGGAAGCAGGGAATTTACCGTCATTGCGTTCTCCGCGAACATTGTTTTGTTAGATTTAACTAAAGGTCACTCCTTTTACTCGAGATATCAAAAATGGGTCAACTGAAAAGGATGATGTCATGGTGTCATCAAACTATCATTGCCACCCTACAAAACGTCATGCGAAAATTAGAAGGGGACGATGTGGGAGTGAAAATTGACGGTTGACAATTAAACCGTCTTCGCTTTGCTGACGATATTGTCCGCATAACACCAAACATCAGTTAAGCGGAGCGAATGTTGACCGATTTCGATAACGCCTGTGGAAAGATTGGTTTTCAACTAAATCGAACGAAAACGATGTTCACGAGGAACGGATGAGTTTTGAATGGCCCATTCAACGCTCAACGAAACGACAATCTCCGAATGCTCCAGTAACGTCTATCTAGGTTGTGAAATCAACATGATGAACGACCTAGCTCCAGAATTGAGCAGGAGGAAACGAGCAGCTTGGGGAACGTCCAAGAGCATCGAAGATGTAGTGAAGAGGACAAAGAACATCCGACTCCGTGCCCACCTTTTCAACTCGACGATTATACTGCCCTAATGTGTGCAGCAGAAACTTAGTCGATACGTAAGCATGATGAAAGGTACTTGGCGCTATTGAGAGCAGTCGAAAGGTCGATGCTAGGAGTATCCCGCATCTCGCGAATGGGAGGAAGAATCCGCCCTACGCTAAAGACTGAAGATCAGAGACGCCGTTCTACACCCTAGGATATCGAAGATGAGGTGGGCCTAATACGTGATGTGCTTCAACGACAATCGATAGACGAGAGCCGTTACCGACTGGGTTACTCGCGGCATCAAGCGCTCTACAGGAAGACCACCGACCCGTTGGTCAGATTTTATTCACGAAAGCTACAGAAGAAAGACATGATGCTCAGCGAATCCCTAGAGCAAAAAAGGACCCACTGGGTTACTTTTGCACGCGATAGGGAAAATGGAAGTGTTACTGGTATCCGCCCGAGTCACTCGACGATCAACAAGACGACAGGTGATACAGGTGTTGTCATCAGCACAGCAAAAATGGTGTGTTTGCCAGGTATCAATTTCCACTGTCATGTTTTTCTTTTTCAATGTTTATATGTCTATGCGAGAGTGCAGAAAATAATTATAAGGTTATGGTAATTACCTCG